GTTTTGCCGCCGTTGCCTAGACCTCCTGACCATCACTTGAGCTGGGCTGGGCAGCTTGTCTGTTTTTTCCCACACACTCCTGTTCCTTTCAGTTCCTGTGGACGGATCCTTCTGAACTCACCTTCTTCTGGGCTCTCTTTTTCCTTCCTTCAATCAATAATAATAACCTTTGCTGCAATAAATCATTAAAAGCAATGCATGCCTCGAAGTCTGTCATGTATGCCTCAAAGTCTGTTCCTGCCCAGGGGGGTGTGAGAGCAACACGTATTGCTACAATGCTCAGGGTCTACCTGTAATGGTCCTGCAAGGTCAGATAACAGCAGCCAAGCTGACACCCAGCACCTGCCACAAAGAGTTTGGGGGAGGTTATTGGGGTCTCTATAGCCTCAGTCTCTCCATGCTGCAAGTTCCCCTTCCTTTCCCTTTCATGCTCTGCCTCAACATACGTACTTTCCCCCGTGGATCTTTGCCACCCTGTTGTCTGGAAGAAGGAGACTCTGCTGCCAGCTTCTCATCAGGAGGCCAGGAAAGAGTACAGCAACCTTTGCTCTGCTATCACAGATAAATGATCACTTCGCTGAGGCAGCAGTATGACCCACAGAATTGCTTTAAGACCCCCCAAACAGCAAAGAATTTAAGCACATGCTAAAGTCCCATTGAGGTCCATGTTCAAGCGTGTGCTTAAATACATAGCAGAATCGGGACCTCAATGCAGAATTGCCCTGCAAACAGCTTGCACAGCATCCTCGAACCCCTGAGCAGTCGCTGATTGTTCACTAGCCTATGGGAGCGTCTGTGGCTTTTTCACAAATACACAGGAATGATCACATAGAATCATAGAATATCAGGGTTGGAAGGGACCTGAGGAGGTCATCTAGGCCAACCCCCTGCTCAAAGCTGTTCACGAGCTGTTCCTGTGCCCAAATATTTGAGTGCGTGCATGAATTTTTCATGAATCATTCATGTGTATTTGCAAATAATTGGGGAGCAGAGCAGGCAGAGCTTCATGACTTGACTCTGGATTCGAACTGCCCCAAAGTTTGGAGGTATTGGAATCTATCCCAACATGCAACCCCACATCTAGATGTTGCAATGTCCAGATTTTTGTCCTATAGGACAAATAGAAAAGGTGGTAACTGTAGGCAATGCCTTATGTAAGGTGATATCAGTGCTGCTATATTGCCATCCAGCGGTCTAACTGATAATCTAGTGGTAAGGGTGACAAGGTGGGTGAAGTCATATCTTTTATTAGACCAACTTCTATTGATGAGAGAGTAAAAAATACCCCCCCACCCTGTCACTGTAATATCCTGGGACCAACAGGGTTAGAACAACACTGCATACAACCTAGTGGGTGACCAGAAATAACCCGTACAGCAAAGACTGCAATACCAACTTGGTGAAGCAGCAGGACAGCTGCAGACAGTTGCTGTGAGATCTGGCCCTATAGTCATAGCGATATTTAGGGGAAAGAGAAGACAAAAATGCCTTTAATTTCACCGGCATGCACTGGGGTATGACACAAACTGGATCAGGTGACCAGTTCATAAAGCCCAGTCTCCCGCTTCCTGCTAAATCCAACACCTGATGCGTCACATGATGGGGAACTCTCCCACACTGCTCTTGGGCAGGGTTACACGTGGGAAGGGGAACTTCCTTCCAGCTCCCTGCAGTGATCAGTTTACATGGGATCTTATCTGCATAATGACAGACATTAATATTGGTCATAAAAGTATCCCATCCTTTACAAAAAATCTAACCACTGGTATTTGACTCTATTACCTCCTGTGGCATGGGGTTCCACAGGCCAACCACACACTATAGACCAGCTTTTATAGTCAAAGAATCAAAAGGCTGGGAAGGAACTATCAGCTTATGTAGTCTGACCTCCTATATAGCACAGGCCACCATAGGGTGACCAGATGCCCCGATATTAGGTACTTTGTCTTATATAGGACCATATTACTCACCTCCCCAATTTGTCACACTTGCTAGTTGGTCATCCTAGGCTAGTGGTTCTCAAATTTCATTGCATCGTGACCCCCCCCCCCCCCCAACAAGATTTGGGCCGCGCCCCAGGAGCGGGGACCAAAGACCGAGTCCGCCTGAGCCCCACCACCCCGGGCATGGGGGGGGGGGCAAAGCTGAAGCCCAAGGGCTTCTGCCCTGGGCAGGGGGCACGTAACCTTAGCCCTGGGCAGTGGAGCTTGGGCTCGGGACTTGCTGGGGCCCAGGGCCAACACCAGCCTTGGTGATCCCATAAAAATGGGGTCCCGACCCACAGTTTGAGAACCCCTGCCATAGGCCACCAACTCCACCCACCCACTAGACCCACCCACTGAAATTAGACCACAGGAGACTAGACTATTATGTGCCGCAGGCAGGGAACAGGAGGGACTCAGGTGCACCAGTGCCCGAGGCTCTGCAGTGGCAGGGAAATGATTCAAAAGAGCCCAGCACTCTTTTAGACACCTAATAAAAATACTCCGGCCAGGGCTACACTACAGACCGATATCGATATAACTATGTTGCCCAGGGGTGTGAAAAATCCACACCCCAGAGTGACGTAGTTTAACTGACCTAACCCCTGGTGTAGCCAGCCCTATGCTGGCAGGAGAGCATCTCCCACTGACACAGCAACTGCCTCTCACGGAGGTGGATTAACTACGCCAACAGGAGTTTCTGGAGCAGCGTCACTTAAGCACTACAGCGGTGCACTGCATCGGTGCAGCTTTTTAAGTGTAGACCTGTCCTCAGACTTGCAAAAGGGCTCAGCAGTGGCCACTGAGAACAACAGAAACTCCTCCCACCCAGGGCTGCCCAGAGGATTCAGGGGGCCTGAGGCAAAGCAATTTTGGGGGCCCCTTCCATAAAAAAAAGTTGCAATACTATAGAATACTATATTCTCATGGGGTCCCCTGTGGGGCCTGGGGCAAATTGCCCCCCTTGTCCCCCCCCCCACCCCCCCAGCTCCCACCCCGCGAGAACAATGGGAGCTAATGAGAGCATTTTTGAAGCTCTGATGACTTCTCGTGAGAGGCCTAAATGGGAGGTGAGCGCTTTTGGAAAGCTGGCTGTTTAGGTCTGATTTGAAGAGGTGCTGAGCACGTGCAGCCCCCATTGACTTGTGAGGTGTGCTTGACACGTTTAAAAACCGGGCCCAGGGCATGTCTAAACTTAAAATGCTGCTGTAACACTTTAATGAAGACTTTCCCATCAGTTTAGTTAATCCACCTCCCTGAGAGGCAGTAGCTATGTGACAGGCAGTGGCGGAGTAACGCACGGGCCCTGGCCAATTTGGGAGTCCCCGCAGGAGCGCTGGAACCTGGGTAGAAGTGGGGGGACACCGGTGCCGGAATTGTGGCCCCGCCCCCTGCTCCTCCTCTTCTACTGCGGCCCCGCCCCCTGCTCCTTCTTTTCCATTGAGGCCCCGCCCCTGCTCCTACTCTTCCTCTTCCCCTCCTGGCTAGGCCAAAAGCCAGAGACGGGCAGTGGTAGGAGCTGCCCAGGTAGCTTAGGCTGCTGTGGGGAGCTCTGGACCCTCCACCTGTCCTGGACTGGGGCTGGGGTGCCCAAAAGCAGCCGCCAGCCTGTGTCTCTGCCCTCCCAAGGCACGACACTGCTGGTGGGACCCAAGGACGGGGGCTCCTCTCTGGCCTCTTGACTCCTCCCCGGGGCCTGCAGACATGCTCTGCGGGGAGAGGAAGCACTGCCCCGACTGGGAGGCAGTGGGGAGCCCTGGGACAGTCTCAGGCAGCAAGGAGCTGGGCAGGGAGGGCTTTTCCAGGACAGCTCCCGCTGCTACTGGCCTGGCCTTAGCAGCCACCGCACTCTGCTCGGGCTCGCTCAGTGTCTGCAGCCGGCTCCTGGCCTCCCGCTGCCAGGCTGCCCCGGACCAGGTCCCTCCTGCTCCCAGTGACAGGCTGCCCCCGCTGCTGCCTGGGCTTTGTGCCCGAGGCAGCAACCATGTACGGCACCATTCCTCCTGTCGCCTCTGGCCTGAGGCTTGCAGCTTTGGGGGTCAATGCCTCTTTCCCCCCCAAACTACGCCCATGCTGCTGCCGCGCCGCACCTGCCTGAGGCTACTACCCATGTTAGAATGTGGACAGGCATGGCCCTCCTGCTTTTAAAAGTGTGGGGAGCCATAGCCCACCGGCCTCCCTAACTCTGGCACCCCTGGGCCCCCAAGGTGTGAGGGGCCCAAATGTTCTTTGTGCCAAGGGCCCCAATAAATCTTAATCTGCCTCTGGCGACAGGAGAAGCTCTCCCGCTGACATAGCGCTTAGATCGGTATAACTACATCGCTCAGAGGTGTGAATTTTTCACACCCCTAAGCGATGCAGTTATAACAAAACAGGGCTGTAGTGGAGACCAGACCCTGGTGTGAAGAAATGTCCCGGATGTATTTCCCTGTTTGTCTCATCTCTATTTATTATGATTAATTATTATTTTATGTTGTATTGCAGTAGCACCTAGAAGCTCCTGTCTCAGATCTGGACCCCCACTGTGCTCGGCGCTGTACAAACCCTGAACAAAAAGAGGCCTAAATACCTCTTAAAACTTTCCCTGTGAAAATCAATCTGGGGGGAAAATATAGTAAAAATGAAAAATTTAAAAGAAAAGTTATGTGTGTGTGTGTGGGGGGGGGGGGGAAATAAATAATTAACAACTTCTATGCTGGCGGGGGGGAGGAAAAAAAAAGCCACAGGGAACAAGGACAAAACTACAAGTCCCATCATGCAATGGGCACCGGGTGGCTCTGGAAGGGCAAACCCCCCCAGCGGCGCCGGGGAACTACAAGCCCCGGCATGCCCCGCGGCGGCGCGCGCCCGGGGAGTGCTGCCCTCTTTTGGGTGCCGCGAGGAAGCGGGCGAGAAGGTGCCTGACAGCGGGAGGGGGGAGCGCTGCCTGCCCGCCCGGGGTCCCAGGGGTGACGAGCCCGGCCGGAGGCGCAGCGCGGGGAGGGCGGGCGGCAGCGGCTGGAGCGGCCCCCCCCGGGGAGCGGCCGGGTGTCCGGCCAGGCGCGCGGGGCCGCCGGGACTTGGAGCAAGTTGGGGAAAGTCCGCGGCGGGCGCTGACCTTCACGGGAGGGTAAGTGCGCGGGGCGGGGGCGGCGGCAGGAGCCGGCCCCTGCCCGCAAAGCAGCCCGGGGGGCGGGGGGCGAACGCAGCTGGGGCGTTGGGGGGACGCTGGGGTCCCCCCCGAGTGGGGCAGGGTGCGTGGCCGGAGAGCGGCCCTGGAGCTAGCGGCGGACCCAGAACCGGCTGGGGGCGAGCGGGCAGGTGGGCTCCCTGCCCGGGGTGGTGGCGGCAGGGGGTCTGTAGCCGCTCAGGGAGAGAGGGGGGCAGGCGGGACTCCGGTACCAGCACCCGAGGGGCAGGCGTGAGTGGGTAGCTGGGACACCCTCGCGGGGGGATGGGGGCGGGAGCACGCACACTCTGGCCCCGGTACCAGAACCGGGAGCTGAGCACAGCAAAGGGGGGGGGAGTTACCCCTTTTCCCAGCAGACCCCATGGCTGTGGGAGGGGGGGAAAGCAGGGGGGGGTGTGGGGGTGGGGGGGGGGGGGGGTGTCTGCTTTCGCAGCCGCGCAGAAAGCAGATTAAAAGTGAGTCTCCTGGATCTTATGTAACTTGTTACGGTGGGAAGCCAGCGCTTGTGTGAGCGTCAGGCAGGGCTGCGCTGCTCGCAGTAACGCCAGGCAGCAGAGTTGTTTTGTACTTGTTCCTTTTGCCTTCTGGAAATAACTGCCCAGGCTTTTCTTTAAAGATGAAATCAACTTTGGAAAGTCCTTCCCTGTGCTTGAAAACGGCACCAGAAGTCCAGCAGGAAGGAACTTTCTGGTGTTATTGATACTGACAAGTGTTTGGAAAATATTGGGTGGCAAACTCTCTGGGTGGTTGGTGTGTGATTGCAGTGGGATGTTTAGACTGAATAATGAATAAATACTTAGTGCTCATCTGAGAGTCCGGCTCTCAATGGGCACAGTGTGGATGCAACAGCGCTTTTTGCTTTTGAAGCACTCTACAAACATGGTCTGTGCTTTATTATTTACTGTCTAAGGATTGAGTGTACGCGTTTGGTGCTGCATGCTACAGCTAATGTTTAGACTCTGAGGCACTGATCCTGCAGTTGTATCTGGGAAGAGGTGAGTGGAGCCTGTGCAGATCCTGATTCAAGATTAGAACCTTTAACACACAAAACAAATCAGACCCAACGGGCTGTATTAGCGCTATTTTTTAAAAGCATTATTAATAATAACTTAGCACTGCTATTACAGTACTGTTATTATTTAGATTGTGGTAGCTGCAGGCACTTTTCGGACACAAAGGAAGATACACTGTCAGCCTTAATCTGTGTGCAGTTTTAACATGTTTTCAAAACATGTTGCAAACCTTAGCTAGCTAGTACTCGCCAACCCCTTCTTAAGTAGAAGGCCCCAGTCCTGCTTTGGGATCCATTAGTGTGAGCCCCTTTGCGTGTACTGATTCCCACTGACTTCAAGTGTTGTTAATCCCCATTTTATTGATGGGGAAACTGAGGCAGAGAATCCATATTTGCTGTTGCTCTGCACCTTGCCATTGACACCAGTGTAGAGTGGATGTAAAATGCTGCCCTTCTGATTTGGTGTGGTTTTCACATCCATGATGCATTGGCGTCAGTGACTCCACAAAGTACAGGTCAACTGTGAGTTGGGCCCAGGGAAGCAGGTCACTCGATAAGCAATGCATTGTGTTAGTGTCAGGGATAAAACGCAGGGATGCCTGGCTTCCAGTCTTGCGCTGTTAGCGGTGAGAACACACTGTGCCAGATTCAGATTGGGTGCAACTACAGCCTCTGATTAATTAATTGTAAATCAGGAAGGATTGCAACAGCCCTCCAGCATGTTTCCTGATTCCACTGAACCTCAGCAAGTCAGATGATTGGGAAATTTCCCTTTAAAAAAATGTGTGTTTTTATTATTGTTTCTTTTAAAATGCAACAGATTCTTCATGTGACCGGGGGGGCTTCTCCTTGAATTGTTTGCAATGATTTTGGGTTGCTTCTTGTTTCTCTGAGGGCCTGGAGACTTTCAACTGGAGAGAGTTGAATAGATGGTTAGCTTTTTCTTTTTTTCTTTTTTTTGCCTTTTGATTTCCTCTGCCATGTTTATTTGACTTCATGCCACAGTGCTCCTGTGCGTGGGGGCTTGGACTGGGGCTGTGTGGAAAGATCCCTGCTTAGTGCTTCTCCTTGTACTTCTGTTTATGAATGCTGGATCTACACCTAAACATGACTCTCTCTCTCTCTTTTTCTGTCAGGTGGGCGGATCTAGTAAATAGCGGTAGTGGTTTGCTTTATTTCCAGAGCATTTGTCTCTCAGATTCAAAGACAATTAGAACGGGACTACTAAGGCCCTGATCCTGCAATCAGATCCATGTGGGCTGGACTTCCATGCTTAGGGCTCTGGCTGAGTGGATCCAACTGCAGGATCAGGGACTTGTCAACTGATTATTTGTACATATGTAGCGTTCATGTCGGTGAAAGGGTCTGGATTGACATCCCTGCAGGCTAACCGCAGAGCAGGCAGCAGGGAAAGTGGTGCCCTATACTTGTAGGGCTATGGAGTGGCCACTGTTGAAAGCTCTTTAGGTTTTGGGAATAATCCAATTGGACAGCAGAAGCCATGTGATTTAGGTGACCAATCGTGCAGCACCAAAAGCAAAGGATGAATCCCAAGTACTTGAAGCAGTAGTCAGGGAGCAATCCTTAGCAAGCGGCTCAGTAACATGTTTACTGGTGGATAATCTGCAAATGCAAAAAGGGACGGAGCTCTTGCAATGAATTGTTAAGAAGATAAGAATGATGAGACTGGGTCAGACCAATGGTCCATCTAGCCCATAGCCTGTCTTCTGACAGTCGCCAGTGCCGGATGCTTAGAGGGAATGAACAGAACAGGCCAATTTATCGAGTGATCCATCCTGTCATCCAGTCCCAGTTTCAGGCAGTCAGGTTTAAGGACAACCAGAGCATGGGGTTGCACCCCGACCATCGTGGCTAATAGCCATTGATAGACCTATCCTCCATGAACGTATCTAATTCTTTTTTGAACCCAGTTATACTTTTAGCTTTCACAACATCCTCTGGCAATGAGTTCCACAGGTTGTGTGCTGTGTGAATAACTATTTCCTTATGTTTGTTTTAAATCTGCTGCCTGTTAATTTCACTGGATGACCCCTAGTTCTTGTGTTCTGTGAAGGGGTAAATAACACTTTTTCTCCACACCATTCATGATTCTGTAGATCTCTTTCCTATCCCACTTTAGTCATCTCTTTTGTAAGATGGAGAGTCCCAGTCCTTTTTAATCTCTTGTTGTATGGAAGTTGTCCCATAGACCTAATCGCTTTTGTTGCCATTCTCTGTGCTTTTCCAATTCTAATGTATCTTTTTTGAGATGGGGTGACCAGATCTGCATGCTGTATTCAAACTGTGGGCATACCATGGATTTATATAGAGGCATTGTGATATTTTCCATCTTATGAGCTATCCCTTTCCTAATGGTTCCTAATATTCTGTTAGCATTTTTGAATGCTGCTGCACATTGAGCAGATGTTTTCAGAGAACTATACACATTGACTCCAAAATCTTTCTTGAGTGATAACAGCTAATTTACACCCCATCATTTTGTATGGATAGTTGGGATTGCATTTTCCAATGTGCATTACTTTGCATTTATCAACATTGAATTTTATCTGCCATTTTGTTGCCCAGTCCCCCTCTTTTGTGAGATCCCCTTGCTACTCTTCGCTGTCAGCTTTTTGAACTTACAAAATTACCCAGGATAGTTATCTGCACACTTTGTCATCTCACTGTTCACCACTTTTTCCGGATCATTTATGATTATGTTGAACAGCACTGGTCCTAGTACAGATCTTTTGGGGACTCTGCTATTTACCTCGCTCCACTATGAAAACTGACCATTTATTTCTACCCTTTGTTTCCTGTCTGTAAGGACCTTCCCTCTTATCCCATGACTGCTCTTTTAGCTTAAGAGCCTTTGGTGAAGGACTTTGTCAGAGGCTTTCAGGAAGTCAAAGTACACTATATCCACTTAATCACCCTCCTCCACATGGTTGTTGACCCCCTCAAAGAATTCTGATAGATTGTAAAGGGAAATCATGCCTCACCAAAAGCCGTGTTGACTCTTCCCCCAACATATTGGGTTCATTCATGCGTCTGATTGTTCTCTACAAATGGCTCGCCAATCTCTAGTGCGTGTACTCGAGGAACTTGTTGCATTTATACCTGTCTCTGTATTTGCACGCATAAATGTACATGCGGATCTATTCTAATCTATTATTATTTAATTGATTGTAGTACAGAAAAGACATTCTCTGCCCCAAAGAGTTCTGCCTCTCTGCTCATCCCATGATGAGCGCTGTGGTATCTGAACATTGTCACTGCTGCTTGAGCTCTTTCTGTAGAGCAGAGGTGGGCAAACTACGGCCCGCGGGACCCTCCTGCCCGGCCCCTGAGCTCCTGCCCTGGGAGGCTCGCTCCCAGCCCCTCCCCTGCTGTTCCCCCTGCCCCGCAGCCTCAGCTCACTGCGCCGCCGGCGCAATGCTCTGGATGGTGGGGCGGCGAGCTCTTGCCGGGCAGCGCAGCTGCAGAGCCGCGGCCTGACCCGGTGATCTGTGCTGCGCAGTGGCGTGGCTGACTCCAGCTGGGCAGCGCGACTGCCTGTCCTGGTGCTCTGAGCGTTGCGGCTTTAGCGCCGCCAGCTACTGATGCTCCTGGCAGCGCGGTAAGGGGGCAGGGAGCGGGGGGGTTGGATAGAGGCCAGAGGAGTTCGGGGTGCTGGTCAGGGGGCAGGGGTGTGGATAGGAGTCAGGGTGGTCAGAGGGCGGGGAACAGGGAGGTTGAATGGGGGCGGGATCCCGGGAGGGCAATCAAGAAGGAGAGGGGGGGTTGGATGGGGCAGCGGGGGGCAGTCAGGGGCAGGGGTTCCGGGGGTGGTCAGGGAGAAGGGGTGTTTGGATGCGGCAGGGACCCCGGGGGGCAGTCAATAAGGAGGGAGGGGGTTGGATGGCGCACCGGGGGGCAGTCAGGGGCA